AATGGTGCAGGAGTTTTGTTTCATCAAAGTGAAGTTCTTGTCCCCAAATACCACTCCTCTCCTCCAGCCCATGGACCAAGAAGTCATTTCAAATTTCAAAAAACTCTACACCAAACCAGTGTTTCAAAAGTGCTCTGAAGTGACCTCAGACACTGAATTAACCCTAAGGGAGTTTTAGAAAGATCACTTTAGTATCCTCAGTTGCATAAACCTTATAGGTAAGGCTTGGGAGGGAGTGACTTGCAGGACTTTGAACTCTGCTTGGAGAAAATTGTGGCCACAATGTGTACCAGAGAGGGATTTTGAAGCGTTTGGGGCTGACCCTGAGGAGCCTATGCCAGTTGTGGGAATCTGTTGTGGCACTGGGAATTCCATGGGGTTGGATGTGAGTTTTGAGGATGCGGAAGAGTTGGTGGAGGACCACGATGAAGAGCTAACTACTACAGAGCTGCAAGACCTTCATCTGCAACACCAACAGACCACAGCTCAGGAAATTGCTTTAGAGGAGGAAGACAGATGGAGGAAGGTGCCTTCTTCAAATATTAAGAATATTTGTACAATGTAGACAAAGGTGCAAACATTTATGGATGAACATCACCCTGACAAAACTGTTGCAGGCCATGTTGGCAACATGTACAATATCAATGTTGTGTCACATTTTAGGGAAGTTTTAAAGAAACTCCAGAAACAGACCTCTCTGGAACACTTTTTTGAGCAACAGGGGTCCAGAGACTCTCAAGCTGGTCCTAGTGACATTAAAAAACAAAGAAGGGAAGTAACCCTGGAAAAGGACTTGGTACCTGAAGTCGTTATGGAGGGGGATTCCCCTTCCAAACAATAGTACACCTCCATCCTCTCCCCTCCTCCTGTCTCATAACTCATCAATAAGTCTTCAATAAAGGTAAGTGTCAGTTCAGTAATGTTTTATTCTGCATGTCTCATTGTTTTCTGTGTAGGGAAATGTATATTTCACGTAAAAAATATTTTTTTAATGCTTTTGGGTGTCGGGAACAGATTAACCCTTTGAGGGTCGACAGGCCCTCTCCGAAACTCGTTCTCAGGGTCGGCCAAATTTAAAAAAAAAAAAAAATTATTTTCTCTTAAGAAAAGATAGAGAATCTTTTCCCGATCATAACGACACCAAAAGTTTGAAATTTGATAGAAAACTTACGGAATTATGCTCTCGCAAAGTTAGCGGTCTCGGCGATGTTTACGGATCGGCGATTTTGCCCACTTTGAGCCCCATTTTTGGCCAATTTCACTGTACTAGTCGACAAAAAAACATGAATATTTCGCTAGAACTCCATTTTTTCTATCGAATGGGTGCAAGAAACCACCCATTTATAAATTCAACTATCCAGTACAGTGGTCAGAATTTAGCAATTTGCCAATTTCACACAAATTTCAAAAGATGCCAATTTCGGAATAGGGTCCAGAATAAACAAGAAAGACATTCCTGGCACTAAAATGACATTTCCTCTAGTCATTAGTCACGTCTCAAGGCCCCTCTTATATTCTTTTGCTTTCCACTTTGAATTTTTATTCTCACAAAAAATATAAGATTTACTGTTATGCAGACTACTGCATTAGTGTAAAAAATGGTATAAATATTATTGGTGCACTTGTGAAAGAATATTAGACTCACCAGTTGACGTGTATTGCACGCTTGGCACGATTTGTTTACTTTTGAAGTTTGGTAAAAATCGAACATTTCTGCTACTTTGAGCTCAATTTCAAGGCACCTTTCATTGTAAAACCAGTCAAAATCATCTCAATTTCAGTAATATGTCTTCCATTCTATAAAATGAGACCAAGAAAACTAGAATACAACAATAAATACCATACGAAAATACACTGCAAAGTCGCTGATTTATTAAAAAAAATGGAAAAAGTTTTTTTTTTCTCATTATGCACTGTGTGCTGCAGGATTTTTTTTTAGACTGTGCACACTGACCACATAGACCCATTCTTTCATATGAAGGCCTACCAGCTTTCTCCCACTAGATTTGAGGTCGCTAGAATTTATGAGTACTAGTACGTCAAAAACCCCTACTCGTAAGACGTACTAGTACGACGAAAACCCTCAAAGGGTTAATTGGATTTCCATTATTTCTTATGGGGAAAATTAATTTGGAATTACTAGTCAGATTCGGGTTTAGTCACTCTCTGGAATGGATTACTTACTTAATCTGGGGGGCCCACTGTATATCAATGACCTGATGAAGGAATAACTAGTGATATGAACAAATTCGCCGATGACATGAAGATAGGTAGGATAATTGATTCAAACCTTGATGTCACGGAACTGCAGGAAGATTTAGACAAACTTAATTCACGGTCAGAAAAGTGGCAGATGCAGTTCAGTGTAGATAAATGCAAGATTCTGAGGCTTGGGAGTGTCCATAACCCCAGCACTCATAAGTTAAATAACGCAGAACTTAGCTATACAGATTGCGAAAAGGACTTGGGGGTTATGGTAAGCAGCAACCTTAAATCAAGGCAGCAGTGCCTAAGTGTACATAATAAGGCAAACAGATTACTGGGATTTATATCAAGAAGTGTAAGCAACAGAAGTCCAGAGGTTATACTACAGCTTTATACATCATTAGTATGGCCTCACCTAGATTTAGTAGCTCAGTTCTGGTCTCCATATTACAGAATGGATATAAATTCATTAGAAAACATTCAACGAAGAATGACAAAATTAATTCCTAGCATTAGAAATCTTCCATATGAAGAAAGATTGAAGTCCTTTAAATTACATTCACTTGTAAGATGAAGAATGAGGGGAGACATGATTGAAGCGTACATGTGGAAGATAGGTATTAACAAAGGGGATATAAATAAGGTCTTGAGGATATCTCTCCAAGAGAGAATCTGCAATAATGGATTCAAATTAGATAAGTTTAGATTTAGAAAGGATATAGGAAAGTACTGGTTTGGAAATAGGGTAGTTGATGAGTGGAACAGTCTGCCTAGTAGGGTTATTGAAGCTAGGACCTTGGGTAGTTTCAAATTTAGGTTGGATATATACATGAGTGAGAGGGGTTGGATTTGAGAGGGACTTGCACATGAGTAAATAGAATTATCTAAGCTTATTTCTTGGATAGCATTTTAAATTGGGTTGGGCAAATATCCTAAGTGGGATGAACTGTGAAAGACATGCCTAGTATGGGCCAACAGGCCTGGTGCAGTGTTCCTCTTTTCTTATGTTCTTAAGACACGGAGCTATGGCTTACACCTGTCTATGTCAGATATGAGGATGAGAAATAGGATGGGAGTGAGTACTGTGCCTTGTGGAACAGAGCTTTTCACTGTAGCTGCCTCAGACTTTACTCTGTTTACTATTGCTCTTTGTGTTCTATTTGTCAGGAAGTAAGTTATAGATCCATCTACCAACATTTCCTGTTATTCTTTTATCAAGCATTTTGTGTGCTATTACACTGTGGTCACACTTGTCAAAGGCTTTTACAAAATCTGTGTATACTACATCTGCAAGTTGGCAACACTCTCCTCACACAATGAGTGTCCGTGGTTCGATCCCTGGGATGGGTGGAAAATTTAAGATAAGATTTTTTATTGTTTTTTTTAACCCTGGAGGGTTAGCTACTCAGGATAACCCAAGAAAAGCAGTGTGTTTTTGAGGGACTGTCTGTCTTATTTCCAGTGGGGTCCTCAATCTTGCCCCCTAGGATGCAACCCACACCAGATGACTAGCACCTAGGTACCTACTTGCTTGCTAGGTGAATAGGGACAGCAGGTATATGGAAACATGACCAATGTTTCCACCCTTGCAGGATGGAAACATTGGGCTCTCGCTTCACACATAGTGTGTGTGAGGCGAGAGTGTTGCCTGCCAAGCCATGGGACACACTTTGAGGGAACATGAGCTAGAGTTTGTCATGGCCATGCTGGCAAGAAATTTGCATTTGTGGTCAAAGTAGGGCTCATGCTAATCTCCCTGTGGTATATATATCTAGCTTGATGAATCTTATTGTAGCCAGCTGGCCTAGTGGCTTACACATTGGCCTGGAGTTTTATGGCTCACTTGTCATGGGTTCTAACCCCACCCATACCATGGTTTGTTTACACTTTGGGCATGTTTCCTTATACCTGCTGTCCCTGTTCACCTAGCAATAAGTAGGTACCTGGATGTTATTTTACTGTTGTGGGCTGCATCCTAGGGAACTTTCTTGGGTTATCCTGGGTGGATATCCCTCCAAGTTAAAAAAACAAACAAATCTTATCTTAACCGAAGGTTGTAATCCACTCCCTCCCTGACAGCATATGCTTTTGCCAGTTCATCAGTTCAATCATGCATCTGAAGACTAACGTGAGAAGGAATTAACAGCATCAAAGACAACATAATCAATGTACAGACGTGTGTGCAGAGGGCTCCTGACCAGCAAAATGAGATCAGTTATGAGGGTGCCTTCACCAAATTCAACTTCAGTAACAGAAACATACAGTAGGATCAAATTAACCATGTCCTAAATGAAACATGCTGAGAAGATATCCTAAACAATACAGATCCTATGAGAAATGAGGAGAAAATGTAAATTAGAAACAGATGCTCTCTCTATAGGCGAAGGTGAAGAATCACAGAGCTACTCAAAGGGGCCAGTCTTTCTGAAATACAAAAGAAGGCACTGGCCAGAGAAATAGAAAATATCGAACTTAAGTTTAAGGAATCATACAGGGGTCAAGAAACATAGGAATAACTTAAAGCAATAAGTGAAATTGAAAGAAACTTAAATTATTTCTTTTCTTATGCCAAATCTAGGGCAAAAACCACATTTGGTACTGGGCCCTAGCTTAAACGAGCTGGGACTGACACAGATGACAGCAAAGAAATGAGTGAGATGCTATAGTCCCAATACGACTCAGCGTTTAGTGAGCCATTAAACAGACTAAGGGTCGACAATTTAAATTAATTTTTTATGACCAAGACTCAAAATCTGGTCACTTCCATTATCTCTGATATAACCCTAATACCACAGGACTTTGAAAAAACTATAACTGACATGCCCATGCATTCTGTGTCATGCCCAGACTTGTAGAACTCAGGGTTCATCAAGAACTGCAATAAATCCCTTTCATGTGCCTTAAATATTCTATGAAAGGGAGCACAGACATGGATCATCCCACAGTCACTAAAAACAACAGATATAGCCCCACTCCATAAAGATGACAGTAAAGCAGTTGCGAAGAATTTCATACCAACACCGATAACATCCCACATGAAAAAATCTTTGAAAAGGTTCTCAGAAGCAAGACTGCCAATCACCTGGACACCCAACAGTTGTATAATACAGGGCAGCATGGGTTTAGAGCAGGTTGCTCCTGCCTCTCACAATTACCAGATGACTATGACACGATCTTGGAAGCACTGGAGGACAAAATGCAGATGTAGTATGCACAGAATTTGTGTTAGCCTCCGACAAGTGCGATCATCGTGTAATAGCACAAAATGCATGAAAAATGAATAACAGGAAAAGTGGATAGATGGATCTATAACTTTCCTACCAACAGAACAAAGAGAGTAATAGTAAATAGAGTGAAGTCAGGGGTGGCTACAGTGAAAAGCTTGGTTTCACAAGGCACAATACTTGCTCCCATCCTTTTTCTCATCTTCATATCTCACATAGACAGAGTTGTATGCCACAGCACCATTTCCTCCTTTCCTGAAGATATCAGAATTTGCATGAGTGTCATCCACTGAAAACACTGCAAATCTACAAGTGGATATTAACTAATTCTTTAACCCCTTAACTGTTCAAACATAGATCTATGTTCTCTCACCCAGCGCTTCGAATATTTTGAAAAATACAACAATCATTTTTTTTTTAATGAAGAGGACATTTTTTTACGTAAAGTAATGTAAGAAAAAAAAATTAGAGTCAGTACTTACGGAGATATAAGGCCGCAAAGGCGGTGATTGTCGCTCACTTGACAGGAACATGAGGCGCTGCCGCTCGCAGAAATCCTACATATTTATCGTTTTTTTCATGTTTTTTTTTTTAATTTTTATTTTTTATGATATGATAATGTTTTATAGCAGATCTTCTGATTTGATAGCCAATTGTTGTTTAGACACAAATATTATGTACAAAATTATTGATCGTATTATCACAAACACACTTGTATACACTTATAGGTGATATTGTACACCTGATTGAATCACATTCTATTATCTACAACTATATACAAGTATTTACATGTCTCAGTTATGTTTCTAGTACTCCAGGATTATATGATACTCCATGAAACATGGATTCATACAGAGTGCCACCCCACAATGCTGACACAGGAATTGTGTCCTTTCGCTTGTGGGGATGGTGTGAGGCGGTAGCACACACAACACACTTTCTCTGAGAATGCTTCTTTTTTGGGGTAGGCTGTATTGGTACCAGGTAGTGACAGTTAGTGAGGATTCAGTCTGGCACTTACCCCTCTAGTTGTGGTTGGAGGACAGGTTGTGGTGTGCCAGGTTGCTGTTGAGGGGCAGGTATAAGTGTGGTACCATACTTTTTTGCTATCTGCTTGATGACATTTAGGCTGACTTCTGCATAACAAATTTATTTTCCAGTCTTTATTTCATACATATTGAAGGCATTGAGCACTGCAATGTCTACAAGGTGGAAAAACACTTTTGTGTACCACTCGTGACTCCTACGCACACAGTCAATGAACCCTATCATCATGTCACACTTGTCAACTAGTCACATGTTGTTCATATAGTCCACGACAGCAACTGGTTTTACAATGCTTTCATTGGTCTCCTTGTTCACTTTGTTTGTACCATCATATTTCTGTGGATAGTTGACAGCAATGTCACGTCCTGTTTGTCGTGCCACGTCAGTGCCATGATGTCATTGGCATGAAACGCTTGCACTGCACCTTCACCACTGAACCTTGGCATATGTTTTCTATTTCTTCTCACTGTTCCACATATATCAGTATTGTTCACACGTAGGAAATCAGCAAGCATAGGGCTTGTATACCAGTTGTCTGTGTACAATGTATGGCCCTTGCCAAGGTATGGTTCCATCATCATGCGAATATCACCAGAAATGCCCAACATCCGCCTGTCATCATAGTGTGTGTTTCTCCTGGTGTAGACAATGACATCCAACACCATGCCACTCTCAGTCACTCATAACAAACAGTTTTATACCAAAGTGATTACATTTGCTCGGTATATATTGCTTGAATGACAGGTGTCCCTTGAACAGAATCAAGGACTCATCTACAACAATGTTCTTGAATGGATAAAAATAGGTACTGAATTTCTGCTTCAGATACATAAACACTTCCTGGATTTTGCATAAAAGGTCATTTCTGTTGGGCCTATTCCTGTCTGAGAAGTGCAACATTCATAGCAACAGAGTGAATCTGTTGCAGGGAAGGAGGTCACAGAAGGCAGGAGTACTGATGAAGTAGTCTGTGGACTAGTAATGTGCTATGTTGTGCTTATACATATGAGGCATAAGCATGACAGTGCCAAAGAATAAATACATTTCGACCACAGTTGTGTCTTTCCATTTACGCAGCCGTGATGATTCTGCAACCTCTGTGTTATCCATTATATACTTGTAATAACTGTTTGTCTGGGTGACAATCAAGTTCATTAGCGACTCATCAAAGTATAGCTGGAAAAAGTCCAACTCTGTAGACTCATTCGTAATGGAACATTCTGGGAGGATGCCACTTCCACTGGCATCAAAACCAAAAGGATGTGGCACGAATGTTGTACTTTGTGCCCAGTTCCACTCACGGTCACATGGCACAGGGGAGCAGGAGGCAAGACGGGAGTGGAGGCAGCACACGGCTGAGGGGATGCCAGGCAGTCCTTTGTCTGCCTACCCAATGCGCCCCGTGGGTCAGGCACCCTGCAACCCACCACCACCTCGTCTTCCATGCCTGCATATTCACCTTCATGATCACTATCACTATCAGTTGCTGGGGTTTTTGATCGTGACCTCCCACGACCCTTGGGCACTGCATATGGTACACTGCCTGAACGAAGCCAACAACGCCTAAAAGTACGCTTCACTGGGTTTGGAACAGGGTAATTTTGCATGGAGTGGGGAAGTGTTGCTGGTCTCTTACTTGACATTGATCATGTGTCTGATTCATTTAGAAGCGAGTTCCAGTTTTGATCCATCTGGAGGAGCGCTCACTAGTGCTGAAGTTTGGAGGGCTTCTATGTAAGGTTTTGAATAGGCTTGCCTGAGCATATTGACCCCAATTATGACATCTCTTTCAGTGACACAATCTCTGATGATTGGGATATGAAATTCTTTCCACATATTGCTTTGTTCTGCAATTTTTCCAGCCTTCCAGTCTGACACAAGAGCAAGTAGTGGCACAGCATAATCAACAAATGATTCAATTTTTTTTTATTAACATATCGGCCATTTCCCACAAGGGTAGGGTGGCTCGAAAAAGAAAAACCTTTGCTATCATTCACTCCATCACTGTCTTACCAAAGGTGCCCTTAACTACAGTTATATAACTGCAACATTAGCACCCCTACTTCAGAGTGCAGGCACTGTACTTCCCATCTCCAGGACTCAAGCCTGGCCTGCCGGTTTCCCTGAATTCCTTCATAAATTACCCTGTTCACACTCCAACAGCACGTCAAGTCCTAAAAACCATTTGTCTCCATTTGTTTCTAACACACTTACGCATGCTTGCTGGAAGTCCAGGCCACTCACACACAAAACCCCCTTTACCCCCTCCCTCCAATTTTTCCTAGGCCGACCCCCTACCCCACCTTCCTCCCACTACAGTGCTTTCTTATATCCTTCCTGAATCTGAATTTTTCCAACTTAAAACCAATGCTTTGAGTCCTGTCTTGGCTAGGGAATGTAAATAGCACACTATTTACATTCCCTTTATTTATTCCTTTTTCCATTTATGTATACACCTAAATCATATCCCCGCTAGTTCCACGCTTTTCTAGAGAGTGCAGATTCAGGGTCCTCAGTCTATCCAACACCACCAGAGAAACTGTGCATATTACTGGGGTAACTGTAGAAAAACACTACTTTCATATGCCTTCACTCACAGTGTCATTCGCTCTCAAGAGTGTGTTGCATGAGCCTGGGAGTGTTGCTGTTATACAGGTTACTGCATCAACGTGAAGGAAACTTGTACGCCATATAAGTGTTTGTATTGTGGAAAAACACTTCACAAATACATGCATAATGCTAGATGATCACCTGTCAATGGCCAGTGGACAGGTATTAATACATATCCATTTGACTGTCCACCCAAAACACTGACACCATGTACACGTCTATGGAGCACCCTCCCAAAGGTCTCTTTTCAACAAGTCGGCAGTCCCCCACCAAGGTAGGGTGACCAAAAACAGAAAAACACTTTCACCGTCAGTCACACATAATCACTGTCTTTGCAGAGGTACCCAAATATGACAGTTTAGATGTCACTACAAACAGCCAATATCATAAACCCCAGCAGCATCCTCACTATAATCCATGAAAACTCTAGCCTTTGAGGGAGAAGTCATTGTTTAAGAGAGTCATAGTTGCTCCTGCCTTAAGTCCAGGCATTGTACTTCCCACCTCCAGGACTCAAGTCCAGCTAATTGGCTTCCCTGAATCCTTTCACAAAATATTGCTCAGTTCACACTCCAACAGTTTGTCAGGTCCCAATTTGTTTTGTAATAATAATGATGATCTTTATTTTTCAAGTGATCTTGGGTGTGTTGCCACAAACTCTGCATCCCTCTCGATTCCGTCTGGAAACTTTCCAAAGTTTCAAGTGCTTTAAAATTATTACTTGTATACAGTGGAACCTCCACTAACGAATTTAATCCATTCTGTGACCTTGCTCGCATCTGGATTTGCTCGTTTGCAGAGTCAATTTTCCTAATTTAAATTAATTGAAATGAAATTAATTTGTTCGAGTGGAATTCCAGGCACCATAAAATACTTCAATAATTTTGCTAATATCAACTCTATGGCTTATTTATCTATTACAATTCATCTAATATGACATAATAAACCATATAAATAACATAGAAACTTGATAC